GATTCTCAGCTACGTTCTTCTTAAGCAATGGCATCCTGTACAAGCACAATCGTGATTCTGTTCTGCTTCGTTGCATGGACAAAGCTGAAGCTGAAAAGATCATGGCTGAATTGCATGAAGGTACCTTCGACACTCACTCTAGCGGGCATACGATGGCTAAGAAGATTCTACGGGCAGGCTATTACTAGTCTACCATGGAAGTTGACTGCTATCAACACTCCCGCACCTGTCACAAATGTCAAATCTATGCAAACAAGGTGCACGTGCCTCCTGTTCCTCTAAACGTCTTAATAGATCCTTGGCCCTTCGCTATGTGGGGGATCGACATGATTGGAGAGATCAAGCCTACAGCGTCCAATGGACACCGCTTCATTCTGCTGGCCATTGACTATTTCACCAAGTGGGTCGAAGCAGCTTCCTTCGCATCCGTTACTAAGAATGTTGTTGCCCGCTTCATCAAGCAGAACCTTATTTGCCGGTACGGTATCCCCGAAAGGATCATCACTGAAAACGGTACAAACCTTAACAATACTATGATCACCGCCCTGTGTGAGCAGTTTAAAATTCAACATCACAATTCATCTCCCTACCGGCCAAAGATGAATGGTGCAGTTGAAGCTGCGAACAAAAATATCAAGAAGATCATACAAAAGATGACAGTCACCTACAAGAACTTTTGTTGTTTTATTTTATTTTTTGGGAAAATGCTAAATGTTCAATTAAGTCAAATTTAATTAATTAAAAAAGCTGATTAAAATTAACTCCAAAACATACTTAATATTTTTTTGCATTTTTTTGTTTATGAAAAGGATTGAATTTAAATAAATCCTAAGTCTACTGATTTTAAAATTGGAGAAAATAAGTTAAAATAATTAACTAAATTAAATCCTAATTCTAGGTTACTTATTTTTATGATTTTTATGTTGATAAAAAAAACAAATAAAATGGTCCAAACGAAAATGAAATCAGGCAGTAAATCAAGAAAAACAAAATAATTCTGGAGGCCTGGGTCGAAAGAAGTGTGGGCTGTCTTTCGACCCAATGAAGAGGCTGGATCGAAGGTGCATGAGGGGCTGCACTCTGAGGGTGTTAGATCTGGATATGTCATCCTTCAATCTGGAAGTCCTTGGTCCAGTTCGAAGCTAAGCTGCTGAGCTTCGAAACTCTGAACAGGATCCTGAGAATATATTTCCTGCAAAAACGAAACACATGTTAAAGGTCCAGGGGGGACTTTACCCCCCTTATTCGAATCTCCTCCCTATTCGCACCTGTTGAATCTGGGTCTGGGTTTATTTTATCCTGGGATTCGAAGGAGAAACTCAGATTGTGCCTAAGCAATGGCACAATCTCATCTCTGCGCTGTAGCTTATATGTAGCACATTAAATCATTCACAAACAACAGTAATAACGTGAATATGCAATCAGAGATCGAAATGAGTTTGAGATTAGATTTCTTTTTACCAAACAGAAGTGCTTTGATCTATGATTCTGAGTGTGGAATGGCTGGTGCAAGGATTGGGTATGGCTTCCTGGAAGTGCTGATGATTTTTGGCAGCGTATCTCCAAGTTCTCCCTGTTTCTTTTCTCTATTTTTTCTGTATATTTTCGTCCTCTTTTGCAACACTTGTGACCTCTTTATATAGAGGGGGTGGAGGGGACAGGAAGACAAAGGTTTAAATGACCTTGATTATGTGTTTGACAGCCATGAATGAGAATTTGTAACGTTGGCTAAACACATGGGATCTTGTCCCTTTTTGAATTTTGAATGACATGTAACTGGCCTTCGAATGCTCCCTTTCGAATGGGTTGATGGCCTCCTTCGAATTCTTTTCGAAAGCTTCTTCGAATGGACCCTTTGAATGCTACTTCGAATGGACCTTTTTGGAATTCCAATCGAAGTACTTGTCCATAATGCCAATCGAAAGGCTCTTTCAGAATACCAATCGAAGGGTCTTTCAGAATGCCAATCGAAAGCCTTGACATAATGCCAATCGAAATGCTTGTCCATAATGCCAATCGAAGAGCTTGACAGAATGTCAATCGAAAGGCTCTTTCAGAACACCAATCGAAGGGTCTTTCAGAATGCCAATCGAAATATACTTAAAGCACCACTCAAAAATTTTCCTTTTCCTTAGGCAAGAGCTTGTGATCAACCATGCAGGGGAAGACTTTGGGAAACATGAGAGGGAAAATTTTGGGGTACAACAATGGGATTAGAGGATGTTATAGTGCATGTTAGCATGAAGAGTGGAGTGAAACGGTTGGCAATAAAGATGATCAACCAACTCAAAAAAATATTATTCAACATGATCCCATTAACTTTCATAAAATTATGGAATGATATTATTCTTTACCGACACTTTAAAAGAATCCACATGCCTAATAACATGATGAATCTCTTGGCTAATCACCTCTAGACAAAAAAAATATTTTATCCTCGTAAGAGAACTGCATAAATTATCTTCCCTTCATGAAAATCTTTCTCATCCTCTCCTCCTCATTTGAACCAAACATACCCGTAAGGATCTTCTAACCCATTACATGCAAAGGAATTCTTGTAATAATTAGTTAATAACCATCTTCTCAATCTTATTTTGGTCACTAATCCCATCCCCTTTCAAATTGCATAGCCCAACTTAATTAGAGTTCAATTAATCAATCACATATTAATATGAGTATATGGACTAGCTCATATTATACAATTAAGAATGTCTAATCAAAGTGATATAGTATTCAACAAAAATGTCCCAACGATTATCTGTCTTAAAACAAAACATTTCAATCGACAAGATCTCAAAGGTCTCCTTATTATCAATTTTCAATTTTACCTTGGTTCAACCTTCTACATATCTCAGTATATAAATATATAAATGCAATACACATAAACACATATCATATTTATTTAATAAAAATTCATCATATTTTCATGTAAGCCTAAATTTTCAATTTTTTGTTATATAAATATTCAATATTTGTTAGAGGTTAATATAATAACAAGTCAAATTTACCTCATAATGTATGTCTTAATTTCTCTATTATCACAACACAAAAACAAATCACCACCTAATCTATCTAAAATACAATAATACATATTTGAATCAATAATGTACCTAATTTATCTAATACAATATATTTAATCAATCAATATTATAAATAAAATGAGAATAAATGATATACATTAAATAATGTAATATCAACTGATCACCACTATATTAAGTGTCAAATTATACTATTACTTTTAAATAAATTATATAATATGATTGAATGATGAATTTTTATTAGAAAAAAGTGTAAAAATTCAGTATCTTTTAACTCAAATTAAATAAAATATGTTTAGTCAATATAAATTACTAGTTTATGCCAATATTAGTAGTAATTATTTTTAAAATTATTGTTTTTTAAAGTTATTGTTAATGCTCGAGAGGATAGTGATGCATGTTAGATTGAAGAGAAGAATATCTATATTACAGGGGTTGAAGTTATTGTTATTGCTTGAGAGGATGGTGACACATGTTAGAGTCAAGGGTGGAGTGAAGCAGGTGGCGATAAAGATGGTCCCGACTCACAAAAAGATTATTCAACATGTTTACATTAACTTTCATAAAATTATGGAATGAAATTCTTCTTTACCTACAACTGTAAAAGAATCCACATGCCTAATAAGATAATGAATCTCTTGGTTAATCACCTCTAGACAAAAACATATTTTATCCTCGTAAGAGAACTACATAAGTTATCCCCAAAGACGTTAAGGATCTTCTAACCTATTACCTACAGAGGAATTCTTGTAATAACTAGTTAATAATCTTCTTCTCAATTTTATTTTGGTCACTAATCCCCTCTTTCAAATTTCAACTCCAACTTAACTATAATTCAATTAATCAATCACATATTAATACGAGTATATGAATTAGCTCATATTATGAAAATATGAATGTCTAGTCAGAGTGATATAATATTCAACAAAAATATCATAACGATTATTTATCTTCAGACAAAACATTCCAATAGACAAGATCTCAAATTCTCTCGATTATTGATTTCCAATAATCACTATATTTATACATATCTCACTATATAAATATAAATTCAACACACATAAACATTGTTAAAATAATAATGTAAGTGTGAGTAAGTGAGAAACTAGTCTCACATTAGATAGGAATATGGAGACTTGAGCATATATATGTAAGAGAACTCACTCACCTATCACTTTAAGGTTTTAGGTAGATAAATAGTGTATCTATCACAAATGTGCATAATCCTCAACTTTGTATCAATACTCCTAGTAACTCCCCCACAAATAGTATCATGAGCCTTTGGTTCGAGAAAATGATCGACTTAGTATAAAAATACCCAAGAAGATATGTCATGTTGCAAGGTGACAACGACAGTACAAGTGTCTTGAGGGGGAGAATTATACACTCACACTTGAGGGGGAGTGTTAGAATAACTCACCTATCACCTTAAATTTTTAGATGGATAAATGGTGTGTCACTTAAAAGGTGCATAATCTTCAATTTTATATTAATGCTTCTAATAAACTCCTCTAACAAACACGTACCATATTTATTTAATACAAATGCATTATATTTTCATGAAGTCTAAATTTTCAATGTTTTGTTATAAAAATATTCAATTTTTATCATAGGTCAGGGCTGGTCCTGGAAAAACTGATCCACAACTTAAGGCCTCAAAATATAGATATGGGCTTTATGAAATCAGTGATCTATAAAACTTAACGATAAATAACTTTTCTTTTCATGCAGAGATCATCAATTTGAGACTTATCTTATTTTTATAATTTATTTTATTATTTAATAAAAAAATATCAAAAATAATTGTAGCAAGAATCAAACCTGTGAGTAGTGCCAAGAAAAATTAATACATTACCGACTCAACTAAATAAATTCTTTATAATTAATTTTTTTTATTAATTACTCAGATTTTTGTTAAAAGTCCATTTTTATATTTGCTCCGAAACTCTAAAAGGTAGAACCATGCCTGTTAGAGGTTAATATAACAATAAGTCTAATTTAGCTCATAATGCATGTCTTCATTTCTCTATTTTTTATCCCAATACACAAAAACAAATCCCCACCTAATCTATCTAACACTACAATATGTATTTGTATCAATAATGTAATACACTAGTATATTAAATCAATATTCTATACTATAAATAAAATATGTTTAGTCAATGTAACACTAGTTACAAATTAAACTTACCTTATACATAGATAAAATTGATTAAAGTATATGAGTGGTTAAAATAGTTCCACTTGCAATAATTATATTGTTTATAATTTTCTTCATTATTTTCAAGAGAGAGAAAGAGAAAGAGAAGTCGACGAAGAAGAAGAAGAATCCAAAATCAATCCCATCTTTCTGCGTGTCTTTGCACATCAGAACTGAAGGGAGAAAGAGAGAAACCCATCGGTTTCACAAATCAATGCACAATTTCACACCCACACCATCTATCTTCACCTACTAAAGGTTCCTTCTTCTTCTTCTTATTGTTTTCACAATTTTGCTTTTTTTTTATTCTTTTTCATCGTCGATTTTGATGTGTTTTTGATCAATTTTTGTTTTTTGGTTGAATTGTTAGGGTTGCTTTGGAATCGGGTTTAATCTTCTTTGTTTCTCTTCGATTTCCTTTGTGGTAGATCTAATTTGATTAGGTTTTTTTTGGGGTGTTTCGGACGTTACATGCATATGGGGTACGTTTTCTGAATCCAATCATGCTTTTTAGAAAGTTTTGTTCTTTTTGCCTTTTTTTTACTTTAATTACCTTTTATGTCATTATGGGTATAGCTGGTTTCTCTTGTATTGATTATTAACATGTTTGCTGGTTTTACCTTTTTTACTCTATTGATTTGCATGGTTGTTTAGAAATTTCATGAAAATGTTTAGAAATGGAGTTCAATCCTACATTTTTGTTTTTGGGATAGAGGATAGGAAGGTGTGTTTGTGTTTTGGGATCAATTTGCTAGGTGTATGTTTGGTTCTATGGTGATGAAAGTAGATTTTAAGTTATGGATTTTTGTAAAATTGATCTTGGTGTATGTTTGGTTTAGCTCTTGGAAGAGGCAAAAGCAATTCTATGGGTGTAGAATTGATTTTGAAATGATTTTGAGGAGTTTGATTCTGCGAAGCTAAAATTTGTTTGTAGCTTTTGAGTTTAAACTTGATTTTTACATTGAAATATACTGGTCAACTCGGTTTTGCATGAAGTTATCCAAACATAAATCTCTTTACATTTAATTCACTTTAAACCAGAATCAATTCACTCAAACCAATTTTTTTCATGGCAGAACCAAACAAATGCTTAGTGTAAAATGTTATTTTTTGGATCAATTATGTTAAGTTTTATTTATTTATTTTAAATTAGAGATTAAAGTGACTAGACTGCAGTGTATGCCGATCCAATTGCAGCTAAGAAATTGATGTATTTGGTAGTATTGTCAATTGGGGATCGCGGAGAGTAGGGTTCATTCAAATTCTGATATATGCTATAGTGTAGCACAGCTAAGGCGATTATTTGACTATTTTGTACTAAATAGCCTATTGCAGAACAATAGCTAATTGTTCAAATTCAGCTATGGTTATTTAGTTGTCAACACAGGGGTTTGTTTTAGGAAATAATGACATATATGTGGTTATAATTATGATGTGGTACATAACAGAAAATAATGTGATTTGTAACAGAGCAGTGGTTGTGTTGGATGCTATAAAAGGCCCGTACTAGTTACTACTGTGGAAGCACCGTCAAAAGGGGTTATAATAGTAGGCAGGGCAGTGGAGAAACCTAGTACATCAGAGGATTTCTGGACCACCAGCACGCATGATATGGACAACAGTGCTGTTCAATCGCAAGGAAGTATATCTTCAACCAGTCTAACTAACCAAGCCGTGGTTCCTCATGGCAGTTCTTCCAACAACCCGCCTGAGTTTGTAAATCATGGTATTCTTCATTGCTTTTGTTGTGCAGATAATTTACTAAAGCATTTTGTATTTTTATCAGATGCATGTTGATATATCAGTTGCATGTGGATGCTTATATATGACATGCATCTTTGTATCACATACCAAGTTTCATCGAAATTGCTGGTCAGTTTTGCATTTTGTCGTCTTATTTATATACCGTTGATTGTCTATATATGTTAAGTTGTGTGACAAAATTTTGGAAGGTAAGATAGTGGCATGCATATTAGTTATCTTACTTTTGAGTGCATCTATGAAAATATTTTTGGCTGCAGGTCTAATTCTATGGAATCAGACTCGACAGCGCTGGGTTGGAAACAAAAAGTCCGAGAATCGAACACAACAATTGCGAGAACCTAAATTGAGGTGAATAACATCCTTGCCGTTGGATTAATTCTATTGGAAACTTCTTATTTCTGTAATTTCATTTATGTTGGGATTACCGCAAACACATTTTTCTGTAAGCCTGTTATACATTTTCATCCCAAAGACATTACAGTTAGCCTGTTATACATTTTCTTTAAGTTGTTTCATGTTGGCGTGTGTGTTGTGAAACTATTCTAATGGGTCAATAAGATATGAACTTCTGTGTGAATCTTGTCAGAACAACTTATTCTCTGTGCCTTGCCAATTTTTTTTGGCTTTGCAGTTGGAATGCAACATATGAAAGTTTACTGACTAGCAACAAGCCATTCCGTCAGCCCATCCCTCTTGCTGTAAGCTTCTACTTCTGAAGAATAAGCCATTAATTTAGTCTCTAAATTGATGGTTTATTCAGTTCTTTAACAACCAATTTTGATTGAAAAATAATGATGTGATTGTTTGCTTCTATGAAAACTGATTAATAGGAAATGGTAGATTTTCTTGTGGACGTTTGGGAACAGGATGGCCTGTATGACTGAGCCGATGAAGGTTGAGGAAGTGCATTTTCATTTGTTAGATCCTTGAAATAATTTTAGATCTTGCTTCTTTAGAAACAGGAGGAGAAAGGGGAATGAATGAATATGTTGCTCAGTTTGTATATCAATGGTTATATTATGCCAAAGAGTGTAATTTCTCTCAGCAGGCAGGCGTTAAGATGATTGTACTATACTTTATTTAATTGCTTGCCCTGGTTTCCTCTCTGGTATCCATAAGAGGCAAGTTTTGAAAATCTCCTTTTGTTGACTGCATGCTGCTGCACTTCAATTTTCTGTGCTTTTCTGTCAAATTTGACCAAAAATATGGAGAAGAATGGTTTACTAGTACACCATTTCTGACTTTGTTTTCATATTCATGAAACATTACATTTAAAAAAATCATATTAATAGAAACTTTATCTCAAATGATATTGAGAGTGGTTAAATGAATACTTAACTTCATTATAGATATAATTAGAGAATTCAAAAACAATATTATTATAATACTTAAAAATGAAGACAATATAGCATCTCTGAATCACAACTTAATTATTTAACCACTCACCCATCTAAATGGTAAGGGATTTCTTTCCCGGTTTTAGATTCGAACTCAATTTTGAGCACTCATCAATCAATGTTAAATTCTTTTGATGCAAAATTTTGCTGTCTGTTGTGGTTCTCCAAGGGATGTCTCTGCAGTTTAGCACAACTTTTTTTTAACAAAATAAAATCTTTTTATACCATACATAACCTCAAATTCATTTTATTTTTGGATTTTTAATCTATATATTAAAAGGTATTCACAATTTTTAAAGAGAATCCTTAGTTATAGTCAGGCCCAACATTCTAATTTTTATGGACCAGAAGTAAATTTCCCAAGTCCAGAACGAGGCCCATAAAAAAAGCTATTTAGAAGGTGCTCAAAGCTTCATGTGATAATTATTCTTTACCACTCTAGAACACTCTTTGAATCGTATAATCATGACCAATGTAACAATGCATGTTCTCGAATCTATTAGACACTTCTCAAAGTATCCAAAATATACCTATCCTTATTTAAGGTGTTTCAACTCCTTCAATTATTACAAGTAGAAAACTAAAAACAAAAAAAAGTAGCTAAACATTAAGGTAAATAGAAAATGGCTTTGGCATGTTTGGCTATGAAAAATTTACAGCAAAAGGTATTATCTGGAGGAGGTTCTTTGCTGAAGCAACACAAGAGGTTGAGCAATATTAATAATAATAATAATAATAATGAGTTGGTTGCAAGGTTTTCAACTAGTGTTGGTGATAAGGTGAAATCTGAAGGAAGTGAAGTAGCTATCTCAGAAGATAATAAAAATAATAATAATAATAGTAAGAAGAAGTCAAAGTTGTTACCGGCAAAGAGGAGAGCTGGAAGATGGCTTTCTCCTAACCATGATCGTGACTTCCTTCCTACTCCTTTTGGTATTTTTCTCCTCCTTACTATTTTCTTTTTCTTTATATGAATTTTAAAAATTGATAAGAGATAATTTATATAATTTTACGAGAATATTATTAGAAGAAAGAATTAGCTAATATTTTTATATAAAAATATTTATTACTTATTGAAAAGTTGATGTAATACAATTAAGAAGAAATTTATAAAAAATAATCAATTCACTTTAAGTTTTAAAAGAATCTTATAAATTTTTACACATTGCTAGTGATAAATAAATAAATAACCTTATTTTGAATTTCACATGTCTAACTTATGAATATAATATTCCGGATAGGAATGTTTGTTTAAAACAGCATGTTTGAATTCAAAGATACACACGATCCAAGACAATTTATATGACTCACATTAAAATGAACAAACATACAAATTTCTTGTCTTTCCTCGATGTCCATTCACAATTAGTCAAAGGAACTAATTTTCATTCATAAATGTTATCGTAAATTTACTTTGATTCTAACCATGCTTACTTTGGTGTCCTCAATTCTGAATTCATATATTATTAGTCAAAATTTTCATATCGATATTTATTTGTTAAACTATAATTTCGTGTTTGGTTTTCAGGGTTATTTCCACCAAGTCTTGGAAATGCACTAATGCAAGCAACTGAGAACATGAACAAACTATTTGAAAACATGAATTTGACACCATGGTCATTAACTGGACGAGTGAAAGAAAGTGAGAACCATTACAAACTAAAGTATGACATGCCAGGAATTCCTAAAGAGAATGTCAACATAACAGTTGGTGATGGAGTTTTAACAATAAAAGGAGAACACAAAGAAGAAAATGATGATAATGAGTATTGGTCATCATCTTATGGTTATTATAATACTAGTATGGTTTTGCCTGATGATGCTAAGGTTGATGAAATAAAGGCTGAGTTGAAAGATGGTGTTTTGGTTGTTACCATTCCTAGGTGTGAGAAGGTTAAGGAAGATGTTAAGCATGTGCATGTAGAGTGATGAAGGTGATCAGGGGATTGTGTAGAGTGCGGTGAAGTTGTAATGGATTTGTCATGTTTGTGACTTGGGAGCCTATCATATTATATATCACTTGCATTGTGTGTAGTTTTAAACATTATGAAGAAATAAAGTTTCTTACGCTATAAATGATAAATTAGTCCCTATAATTTCGCTTACATAAAATTCAACTTGCTATTCTAATTTTTTTTTTTTTTAAGAACATCAATGTGATTCATAGCATATGATACATGTAACTGACTTAACATTTATGTTTAATTAAGAGTAATTGCATCTTAACATAAAATTTTACACTTACATTGTATGTGAGCGTTTATAAATACGATTAACAATAACTTTTTTTATTTTGACTCTTCCACATCTCTCTCTCTAACAATTCTTCCACATCTCTCTCTCTAACAATTTTGATCATGGTGTGTAAAAATTCTGTTAATACAATTTATAACTTAGATTAATATACGTCCTAATATCAAAAAAATAGTCTTAAATGACAGTAAAGTTAGTTAATTGAGTCTAAAAGATCGGTTAATACAGTTTATAGTTTACTTATTTAGTGCTCTAAGATCAAACCTGGAGTATTAAATGGTAAAAAACTTTGATTTGATGGTGTATAAAAGATTGTTTAATATAATTTATAATTTGATTAATCGGTATCCAAAATTTAAAAATAGTCTTGAATAGAATATAGAAAGTTAGTTAATACAATTTATAATTTGATTAATGAGTACTCAAACATTTAAAAAAAGTTTTAAATAATAAAATAAAATTGGTGAATGGAGTAAAAGAAGTTGGTTAATACCATTCATAATTTAATGTCTCAAATTGGTTAATTTGTTTATAGGTAAAATAACATTAACAATAAGGGATAAGAATTCCAAACAAAGTAAAAGTTTACAAACAATTGGCACAAAGAGTATCAAAAGCTACACTAGAAAACAAGAGATAACATATAGATAAAGGAAAAACAACAATTCCAAAAACGAGCAAGCCACACAAAAAATCTGAACAATCATCACTTTCTAATGACTACATCACAAACGATGAACAACATATATCTCAAGTCAATAAGACCACCTCCCCCTAGATGAAAAACCACCAAGGAAAGAAGAAAAGGCCATCACCGCTCTAACCCATGCTAAAATATTGATCTGCCGTTGGTTAATCTAAATGATAGGATTCTGAAACCATTATGTGTAGGTGTAAGAGTTTCTCATTAGTTTGCACACAAACTATTTCTAAGCAAAAAAAAAAGAGAGTATTTCCTTTCACGTTTTTCACGCTTGTCATTGTATTTGAAGACATAATCTCATTTATGACCTTTCAAATGGTCTAGACCACACCACGCCAGATCATAGAACCCCCTAGACTTTGCCATACCTCCTAAGCAAAAGAAACTCTCTAAGAGAAAACTAACGTCAATAGGAAGGACTATTTGCAACCCCAATCATATGATAATCTTATACCAAACACTAGTGACTAAACCACAAGTAGCACACAAGTGAGAAGCTGACTCAAACAAATTGCCACAATAAAGACAGACAGTAAGAACATGGTATAAAATCACCTTTCTCCTGAATAAGTTGTCTCTAGAAGAAAACCTATCCATAATAAACTGTCAAGATAAAATAACAACCTTAGAAGGTGCCAGACTGCCCTAAATAAGAGGAAGAGGTGAAAATCCAATAGAGTAGGAAATATTTGGAGCATTGGTAAAAGGCAAAGGATAGTGGTAAACAAAGGCACAAAAATTATCATCCCTAATAAGCTTTCAAACCCACGTATCTTTGTGCAAAGAAAACAATATGGTATCAGATGACCGAAATGAATTCGTCAATAACATACTACTCATGAATAAAGAAAGATCTTTACCGTCTAAAGTCTCAAATGAAATTCTTACCAACCTAATTACCAACATCTCCTACACTCCTCTTAGAGTAATCAATGATCAAGAACAACTTAAGAAATCCATCATTAAAAATGATACTAGCCGTCCAAGAATCACCAAAAAAAAGATGTATGAAATCTTAAATCAATGATAGTTAATTAGTGTTATGTATTTTTTTAATAAAGTAATAAAAATGTTTAATAAATAAAATAAATAATTAAATATATATTTTTATTATTAATGAAATGATAAAATTAATTAGTTACAGAATCTCATATTTATATTATAAAATAATTCTATATTTTATTAAAAGCATATTTTATTAAAAACATTTTATATTATTAAAAACATTAATGACACAATCTTTTATATATATAAAATTTTGTATCAAAATAACATTACTCTTTCTAATAAAAGAAATATTACTCTTTTTAACGTAAGCAATGTTGATTTTCTTTTTTTCATTTTTAACAATTAGTGGCCTTTAAATTTTTATTGTATATTTTGTGAGGTTTTAAACTGTCACAAAATTTTAATGTTTATTTTGTGACGGGTTCACACAAAACTATTATTGTTTATTTTATGATAATTTTAAACTGTCAAAAAAAATTTACTATTCATTTCGTCAAAAACATTTACTATTTATTTCGTAACAATTCAAAAGCCGCTAAGTGTTAAAAATGATTTTTTTTTGAAAAAATACTTAAATTTACATTAGAGACCGTGATTCTATCACAGTATGTCACTATAGACAAAGCTTAAAAAGAATGTCTAAGTTTTTAAAAAAAATAATAAAATCGTAGTAATTGAGTGCACACTGCATAGAGCAGGAAATTTTAGTGGATCCACCATCATGGCAAATCAAATACAAAGCAATATAGTAAGTTTTTGGGATAAAAATGCTTCAATTTTATTAACACTTATTTTAAAAATTAAATAAAACTACGCAAAAAGTTGGAAATTATTTTGATGTACTTTATGAACCCTTTCCCTACCATTTCTGATATTGGCTTAACTATGAAGTACATGCATTATTGTCCTCCTCAACTATGTGGACAGATCGAGACATGGATCTTTTACTTTGGTTGGATTTAACAAAAAGGCGTATTTTTTTTTTTGCTCCAATATTTTTTTAAGTGGAAGGTAGAGACTGATAGTTCAAAATACAAAGCTTAATATTAGGGTTTGATATATGTTTAATGACTAATATTTCTTTTTAATTTTCTAAAGTAAATAATTAGGAGTGAAAAAAAGAATCTAACTTGTTAGATATACCTATTTTATTTATGTTTGTTTTGAAGACCCGCATATCCCTCTCACCTATGTTCTTTTGAGGCATAACAACATACCTATACCACTATATCCCATTTTTTCTTGACTTATACAAGTGAGACTTAAATGAAAAGGACATGCATATTTATCTAATAGTAGTCATTTAAGCTATTACATTCCAATATAGAATATTTAAATTAAATTTGAAACAATAAACTCCTAATATATGTATATATATATATCTCAAAAAGCGGATAGACATAAAATACAAAAAATAACCTCATATTTTCTTGATTCATACATGAATAATTAATGGTGACAAGTAGTGATGGCAATAATGAATTAAGGTTGATATAGCTTATTTCTACAAATACACTTCCATGTTAGAAGGTAATAGGTTTCATCTTGATCACCACGAGATAACACTTGGAAACCCTTATTTCTTTTTTTATTATTTGGAATAACCAAAGTTGCTATACAAGGCCTACAATTCATGCACTTGTTTAAACAAGAAGGAGGCCTCGATCCTATCACCATTTTCCTTTCTTCCAAATTCCCATTTCTCTCCAACACCACTGATCCACCTGTTCAAGCAAATACATGAGAAAAAAGAATAAAGATTTTAGTGTTTAAAAAATACCATCTGACTCATAATAACTCTTATAATAAATGTCTTATCAATTTCACACGTTTCAAAAAACATTGTATATAAAATAAATAGTGTGATTTTATTGTATAAACTATTTTTTATTAATTATTTGTATTTTCATTATATAAAAAAGTAATATATAGACATAATACTAATTACAAAATACAATAAAAATGAAAATAAAATTATTTTTATAAATATAACCGTATATTATTATGAGATAGATGAGAGAAGTTGATTTACAAATATAAAGACAATCAAAAATGAAAATGATCTTTCATATATTGTTTCCTTAGTTCTAAAATAAATGATACATTTTTTCATTCCATACAATAATAAAATAATAAAATATAATACTAATTTTACTATATTCACTATTATTAAACATATAAAGTGGACGGTGTACATCTAATATTAATTAAATAGCTAAATTAAAAATAATTAATATTAAATTAAAAATTAAAAAGATCATTTATTTTATTTTATATTCTTCAAAAGTCTTGTTTATTGAATGCTAGTGTCCAAAACATTTAGCAATAAAATTTTAAATTTTCATTCACTAATTAATTAAATTCTTTTTCTCTTGTAGTATACTCCAAAATATGAGTTAACAATTGATAATAGAAGAATAATAAGAGAGAAAAGTTTCTTAAAAAAATAGATAAGTTCTAGATTTTGAAAGAGTAGAAAAGAAGAAAATAATAATCTCAAAAATATGAATGCAAAAACACAACTATTTGGATTTGTAGAAATAATTGTGAACAGAAGGTTGAAACAGTTTTGTTTAGGTTGAATAGGTTATAAGGTTTACCTGATATGGAGAAGAAAAAGATGAAAAGCACAGTGAATATTGTTGCAAGTGTGAGTCCATGTAGATGATATGATGTAGCAGGTAGAGCCATAAGTGATTGATGCAAGCAAGTAAAAACAGTGAAGAGGTGTTTGTTTGAGAAAAGTAAATGAAAGTGTTTTGTGATAGAAATGGAGATTTTAAATGTGTTTGACAAATATTATGTTTCCTGTGTGAGGGACAGTATTCTGATTCCATGGTTTTGTTTTTCACCAATGAAAAATGAAATTCACACACACAGTGAAAAAAAATGTATGTTGCTTAATTCAGTCCTTTTGGGAATTTGGAGAATGGACTTTTGGATTTTATAATAATCAAACATTGACTGACTCGGATGTGGAGAATATGTGATCCTACCTTCTTTCAATGTTGTCTTCAAATTTACACATTTGTCCTTTCATTAATTGAGAATGAAATGGTTCATATTTTATAAAGATTTTATTTGCTTTTTAACATATGTAATTAGTTGTGCCTAACTGCTAGCACAATCACGAGTTCTCAACCCTTACTAAGTATAAGTATGATCGTTACCCCTCACTTCTAAAAGACGACTTCTCCCAACAAAAACATGCTTCTAATTTAACATTCCTTGGAATGTGGGCTCTGCATAACAATTGTGAAGCTTTCATAGTCAAATACTGTTTTACACCAGTGATAGGCTTCCCTATGTACATTCTTTTTGAAAAAATTCAAATGCTTAAATCTAATCTAAAGATTTGGAATAAAGATGTGTTTGGTGACATCCACAACAATGTGAAATTTGTTATGGAGATATTAGATGACATTAAAATTATGCTCATTTTAGATGATCATAATAATATTTTTAGAGCTCAAGAAACCAATTCATAGATCAAGTTGGACCAAGTTCTTGTTAAAGAGGAGATGGTTTGGTTTCAGAAAGCTAGAGTCAAATAGCACATAGAGGGAGGTAGAAACACTGTTTTATTTCACAACCTTTAAAATCAGGAACAACAAAAACAATACTAGTTTCCTTAGAAGCAATGAAGAGATCATTAGCCATCAATAGGAAATGGCTACTCATGTTTTACCTTATTTTACAAATATTTTCTCTGATACAAGGAACACTCAGAATCTATCTTTGGTGGATGATGTGTGTGATTCAGTGGGAGAACTGACTTAGTTTTGTGTTTTATCGTAAATGTTGCGGATAGCAAGAGTCGTCATTGACTTTTCTTTTATCCAATAAAGAAAGGGTGAAAAGAATAGGAGAGACCTTGAGATTTTTGAGTTCGGGGGTAAATTATGAAAATGGAAGGTGTTAGCACCCTTATCATCAGTAGTTATCTACAGACTCTTAATCGGTAGCTCACTTTGTTTGAAAATGCTTGTTTGTGTGTTTGGAAATATTTTGAAATTTGTCAATAGTTAGGCAACTTTGTAATGATTCTTGTATTAGTTAAGAATGCGTACAAAGTGTTCATTTGAAAATATTTTGAAAGTGTGACAGTGAAAAATGTTTTTATTTTGAAAAATATGAGCAAGCGATTAAGAACTATCTACCTACTCAAAGTATTTGGTATTATTTTCCTCCTCCTTTAAATAGTGTTATCCTACCATTAGTTAGTAGGAAGCCCTGTCGTTGGATGTGAAGAGACAGACGCGGGTCATCGTACAATCATAAAGGCAACTCGTAGGGGCGCTTTAGCAATTTTATCGTAAAGGACTAGATCGTTTACCGAATGCAACATTCAAAAGGGTCATCGAGGGAATACGATCTTTTTAATCTAGGGACAGTGCTAAAGCGTCCCCACGTTCGAGGGACATGACTGTGTTTCTGAAGGCAACAAGTGAGGTCATCCTAGAGGTGCAAGTGTGAAGAGTGCTTTGATTCCAATTATTTATCATGAAATTAGGGTTTTCTACGATTGTTTTTAATCTTGCAATACAAACCCTATTATCATACATCTAACAATTATATACAAGGTATAAAAATATAAGTGCAGAAAAGTAAAATTCTACGCTATTACAAGGCTTCGGGAATGGGGGTACAAATAGTAAAACGTGAGGGAAAAAAGTAAAACCCTAATTAAACTATTACAAACCGTAAGCAGTTACATAATCGGAAAAATGCAAAATAATAAAACACAAAAAAATGTAAAATAAATAAAAGAGAGAGGAAATTGTTTTGTGATTCTTTGATAGAAAAAAGTTTGATGATTAACCTAATAACCTAATTAATTTTAATTAATAAAAATAAATTGGTTAATTAAACTAAATAAATCCTAAAAAGCTAAGTTGATTTAAATTTAATTAAAAAAAGGGTTAATGAAAGAAAATCTAAAAAACTAAATTAGAGTTAATTAAATACAAACCTAAAAATTAATTAGGATTTGTGAAAATGTTAGGGTTTTGAAAAAAAGGTTTTTTATAAAAAAATAGGAAAATGAAAGAGTAAGAAGAAGAGAATTTTTTTAAAAATGAATCAAATGGTAGGGGTGGGTGTTGAACCCACGCCCTTGGAACCCTCAACCAACACCTTCACCACTGGGTCAAGCGCGCCTTGGTGATAGCAAACAACTCTAGCGCATTTTGTAAGTCATCCTGCAAAATATGAAAATATAAGGAAAATAAATGGCAAAAGACTGGATCGAACCCATGCCCTTTGATACCAAAGCCTTAACGCGCGCGCTTCAACCGATGGGGCGGTAATACATCCTTTCATTTATATCAAATGATATATATATATATATATATATATATATATATATATATATATATATATATATATATATATATATATATATATATATATATATATATATATATATATATAAAGAATTTGCTTGAACCGGAGAGGCGGCAGAGCCCTAGCTCCGGTCGTCTTCTCCGACTGCCTCTTTCTTCCAAAGCTGCAAAACAGACAACATTAATAATCTCGGGGGACCCTACCCCTCTAAATCGAGGGATGCAATTTCAATTAGATGATTATCTTGGCTTAAATCATAAGGGATTTTGAGTTATGGTGAAAAATACATGGATCGGTGTAGGCATGGCATCTCACGATTTGGGTTGCATGGGATCATTATGATGATCCAAACCTGTACAAACACATCACAGGAACAAGTTAATGGCATTAGTATGGCTTAAATCAAAATGAAAATTAAGATATGAATTTTTTGAAAATTATGGAATCGGAGATGAATGTATGGCATTTCATGAGCTTTGGACCATCAAACTTGGCCCATTCTTACTCTATATGACTGCTGAGAATGAATGGAGTGGCTGTTTTGTAGTGAAAGGGCTTGTGATAAGGGTTTGAAGATCTTTAGGGTTCTTTGAAATAAATTTGAAATTTCTTGACAAGTTTATTGAGGCAAGATTCCGTGTGTGTTTGTATGAGAATGAATGGGAATATATAGGACAAATTAGGTCAAAGATATGGGCTTGGTCTTTGTGTAAGAAAGGCCTATATTTTATATTATTTATTTATTGAAATATTAATGAATAAATCAAAATTATTAAAGTAAAAATAGTTCAAGGGGTGCATGAACAAGTTTTGAGGTGTATAAGGAGTATAGAGAACGTTTGGACTCTGAAACAATGGCTCAATAGCCCAAAATATCAAGTTTGCCCAATTTGAACTTCATGCATTTGCTCAAAATTTCTCAACTTGCACTGGTCATAACTATCTCAATTTTCATATTTTGAAGGTGATCTTTGGCTTTTTGGAAAGCTTAAGATGTCATCTATAATCCCTCCTTTGATCATTTTTGCATTTGGAGATTTTATCTTGATGTAAGTTGCCTTGACAAAAGTTGTCTTTTTGTTGACTTTTGAAATGACATGTAATGTATTGGCCCATACTTCTCAAATGAAGCATTTTTTGGACTTGAGCTTAGAGATAAAAAGTGGAAGAGAATTGAATTTACTTCAAAATTAGCATTGGTTGGGGAAAAATGGTGAAGTATGTGAAAGTTATGCTTGGTCAAAGTTCAGTTGACTTCTTCTAAGGAAACCCTAATTTGGCAACTTTTGAATTTTGATGATTTAAGGGCTTTTCTTGAGGAATCATGATAAAAGCCTGATCAAATGATGAATATGACTTCAAAATGTTGATGTTGACCAAAAATCTGGAAGTTTGACTGTATGTTGACCACAATGACTTTTTACCCAATATAGTTGATTTTCAGTCATCTGAATTATTGACTGAGAAAACTTATGATGCAAGGCTTGAAACTTGGTATGGTCATTCTTGGAGACATATAAGAGACCATTAATTCCATTTAAGACCTTTGAAACCCAAACTTCCTTGTTAAAAGAGAAACCCTAGTTGTGGATCCATTGCTTAGGAGGAGAATTTCTCTGATCAATTCTTGAGCAACCTTGAGCATTTGGGAACCCTAGGAGGATGTCTTAAATAAAAATGAGAGGGAAAACTTTGGGGTACAATAGCTTCCCCTATTCAATCTTCTTAAACCTGAAGAGTTAGATTGGCATGTTCGCCATTCATGATCTGAAGGTAGAAGGTGATTAAACATCTAAATGCCCAGAAATTTGCACTCACCTGTGCAAAAAGTAACGCTGTTGATTGATTGTATTGCTTGAATTCTCTTAAAGATGCCATTCAGAGATATTATGGAACGTCTTCGGAGATAGACTTATGGATGCCATCCAAAGTATCCGTTGATAGAAGTATCATAATAAGTCTACGCTCGACTGTGTCTAAAGAATGCTTTCCAGAATGAATCTTTGGGGAAGGTGCTTAAGTAGTTGCTCATCAAATTTAGTCTCTGAGGGAGATATTTGTCATGTAGATAGTCGTCCTGTCTTGTTTCAGGAATTGATCTATAGTCTGTTTTTGTTGGTAAACCTGTCATGTTTCGGGAATTCATACCACTTGGTGATAAAAATAGTCGCCCCGACCTATTTCGGGAATTGATCTTTACCTGGTCATGAAGATAGAAATATAGTTTCCCTGTCCTGTTTTGGGAGTCAATCTTTGCTTGGTCGTATAGATAGTTTCCCTGTCCTGTTTCGGGAGTTAATCTTTTACTTGTTCATGTAGATAGTCTCCCCGTCCTATTTCAGGAA